TACAGCCTCAATCCACTAAACTCCTCTGACATTTCCTGAATGTGTTCTGTGGAGGGGTGCCTACAGCCTCAATCCACTAAACTCCTCTGACATTTCCTGAATGTGTTCTGTGGACGGGTGCCTACTGCCTCAATCCTTCAGACTCCTCTGGCCATTTCTCTCATTACGTTGAGGCACCGAATATGGTATCCTGGAGCAGTATGGAGGATTTTACACATACATGTACATGTATGTGGGCATGAATTAATGCATGGCTTAACATAAACAACACAAGGTCTAACCCACAACCTTGAGACAATGCATCCTTTGCAATCAGCACAGCAATTTTGCCATGCAGCCTCAATCCTCTCAAAAAATCCTCCAAAACCGTCCGGAGGATTTTGAAAGGATTGATGGATAGGGTTAACAAGGTCCAGCAAGTGGCATACGAGGGTGCCTGAGACAGCTGCCAAATGCATCTACAAAGGAGACAATGAGAAACAGTTACAGTTTTAGAAGTGGAATGAAAACCCCAGAGAACATAATTCTAGGTGAAACCCACAGAATCAGGTAGGGACTGAAAAGCCAATCCACACGTGTGGACCGAGCTAAGAATCGAACCTAGGCCGCAGAGGTGAAATGCAAGGGAAAAAGCCACCACGCCAACCTGACTCCCCAAACTGCTTTGAAACATCCTGCGTTTAAACCTTTTGTCACACAAAACAAACCGATGAACAAAAACAAAGCAATAGTGACATGGTTTGTGGAGACACCATGTGATTTATCTCTTCCATAAGCAGGTGTCGACGTTTCAAACAGCTTGCTCTGTTCGTCTTTAGGAGAATGTATGGTTCTGGCAGGAGAGTGGTTTATTTAGGTTGGCTAGGGATTCTGTGCAGAGAATCACCTCGGTGAGGCGTGTCATACTAGTTGCAAAATGTCAGTTCATTCCAGTCAGCGCATCCTCCACGAACAGAATAAATGCGCCTTCTTTAAAGTACCCCTTAAGATCTGCAACACGATTCAATCTCAATAGGACCAGTTGGAGCCCTTGGGCTTCAAAAGGCCCAACTTTTTTCGGGAATTTGTCCGTTCTACTAAAAATATTACCTGAAATCTATTCAAATGGCTCCTGTTTTCTTTCTTTTCTTTTTCTTTTCTGTCTCCCTGTCGTTTAAAATAACATTCTGGGGGAATAGTCTTAGAACCCATCCCTGTATGAAAACAGAGGGACCCTTGCCCACAAAGTACTTTGACAGAGATGAGAAACAAAACATATCTGAGGACAGGAAAGTAGGATGAATTCTTTCCTGACAGGCATGCCTACCATTTTAAAATATGTGAAGGATCACATCGTGCCATAAAATTACAAATTGTTTCATATCAAAATGCACACTATCCCCTTTAGTGTTTGTAAAAGATATTTTTGCCGAGTATGTTTTAAAAAATTTTTTTACAAGTGACTTCAAGCTGGGTTGACGAGCATTCCTGATTTCAGAGGAAGATTTCTCTTTTTATCCCGAACAATGAGTACAAGTATTACTTTTCACCTTCACTGTAATCTTTGATTCCCACTGAATCCCAAAGTGGGCGTATTAGACAGGACTATTTGGAGGGATGAATTCTGAGGATTTTGAACGGGGTACAATTAAGCTATTTTTAGTAAAATGAGTAAATGGAATGGAAACCAGGCTATGGAAGGTAATTATACTCTACTATCACCAACCATGTCCAAATGTTAAGGCCATTTGTAGAGTCAAATTTACTCAGACTAGGGGTGTCCTGAAAGTAAAAGAATGCCAATCACATGCACACTTGTGACAAATTCACACCTGTCTGTGGAAGACTACTTTGCTTTTGAAAAGGGAAAGCACATACATTACGACAAAGGTAAGCCAGAACCATGCCACTTAAACATTTATAAATACACCATTACATTAAGATGACTTTCACATCAAACTTGTAAGCTATCCCATCCCAATTTGTATACATAAAACTTGATGTGTAAGTGGCAGTTTAGAAAATGCCTTTAAACACCACCCATATGTATATTGAAGGCCCAATCTACTCTGGATAATGCTTTCCCATAAATCATTTGGAGGCTAGAGGTTAGCTGGCCAGTCCTCAAGGTGGTCTATGAACATACTTAGTAAAACTCCCCTGTGAATGGTGAAGTTCTTGGCCATGTTGGCACACTCTCCAAAGTTTCCAGTTGTACACAATTACCCGCATGTTGAGCCCTCATCAACATTTCAAGATTTTGATGTAATATTTGCTGGTACTTTTCCACTTGATGGTAAGAAAAACTCCTTTTATTGTTGTATCATGTTTAAGATAGATGCTTATTATATTAATTGTTTATTTCTGGCACAATTTGGTATTTTAAGAAACAGCATCTGAGTTAGCATTTGACCCAAACACTGAACTTAAGTAGTGCATTGTGTGTCATGTAGTGAGACTTGAGGTGGTTTATTTTCTGTTTTGTTGGCTTTTTCGCAAGTTGCAAAAAAGACATTCTTTTTGTTCTTTTTTGGGGGGGGGGCTTTTTCGCAACTTTGTGAACAAGGCTTTCTTTTTGTTCTGTTTTTTTCAATTCTCGTCTTCTTCCTCTGCTCAATATCCCATTTAATTTGGGCACGTTTTTTCTACACACGACTTTAGTGCTTTTACATCTTTGGATCTTCATCAAACTTGTACCAATGAAGGACCCTTATGCGTAGATGTGTCTAGAACAATTATGTCATGATGACATCATCAAGTGATTTATTATTGATTTTTCAATACTCATTTCAGCCCCATTGACTTTTTACACGTTTTTGAGGCACGATTTTGGGTACTTGGCGATATTCAATTGTCATCCAAGTTACAGCCAGGAAAGACCCTGAAATGAATCATTGCCAAAGTTATGACGTCATGATGACGTCATCACCATATTTCATATTGAATTTTTAATATTTATTTTTTCCCAATAGTTTGTGTACACGTTTTTCTACTTAACACTAGTCCTTAACTTCGGCTCAAGATTACTATAAGAACGAAAGAGAAATTGGGTACTTTACGCTCTGTTATTTGATTTGAAATATGCCTACGATTCCAAATATGAAGTAATATTTCATAAAAATTGTTCAGTTTAAGCGCAAATCATGTGACATGGACTTAAAGGAGCAGTGTTTCTGCAAACAAGTTTATCGCCCATTGACTTTGTACATGTTTTCAAGCCACAATTTTGGTAACTTCGCGATGTTTGAACGCTGACAAAGTGATTGCCAACTAAGACCCTGATGCAAGATTGAGATAAGATGGATGACGGCATGATGACGTCATCACCTTATTTTGTATTGATTTTTCAATATTTTATTTTGCCCCAAGTTTTTCAACAGGCACACTTCGCGACGCTGGTCAATCTGATTTCATGTCTGTGCACACTCATACTCCACCAAGTAAAGAGGGTCCCAGAACACATGCGTTATCACGATATTATCAGTGGTCACGTGACATGAGATTAAAGGTGGAGTTTTTCTCTGTAGGATTGTACAGTTTTTGCACTACACACAATTATCGAGCTTAATGAGTGGGTAGTCCTCAACCTCGACCAAGAATTACTACCAGAATGAAAGAGAAATCAGACTAAATTTTCCCTTCCGTTCGATTCCCAATATATCCAAGAGTCAGAATATCAAATAATATTTCATAATTTTTCTTCCGTTTAGACGCAAATCACATGACATGAACTTAAAGGAGCAGTTTTTCTGCACACGTGTTTATAGTCCATTGTCATTGTATGCGTTTTCGAGCCACAATTTTGTTTACTCTGCGATGTTTGATCGTTGATAAAGTGATAGCCAACAAAGACCCTGACGCAAGATTTATATACAATAGATGACGTCATGATGACATCATCACCTTATTTTGTATTGATTTTTGAATATTTTATTTTTCCCCATAGGTTTTGTACACGTTTTTCAACAGGCTCACTTCGGGACGCAGGTCAATCTAACTGATTTCATGTTTGTGCACACTCACACTCCACCATTTAAAGAGGGTCCCAGAACAAGTGTGTCATCACGACATCACCAGTGGTCATGTGATATGAGTTTAAAGGTGCACTTTTTCTCCACAGGGATTGGACATCGAGCTTAATGAGTGAGTAGTCTTCAACTTTGACAGAGAATTACTACCAGAACGAAAGAGAAATCAGACTAAATTTTCCCTTTCTATCGATTACAAATATAGCCTGGAGTAAAACTATCAAGTAATATTTCAGAAAATGTTTTCAGTTTAAAAACAAATCACGTGACATTGGTTCAAAGGAGCAGTTTTTCTGCATGTGTTTTTAGCCCATTGATTTTGCACGTTTTCAGGGCATCATTTTGGTAATTTAGCGATATTCAATTGTCATCAGAGTTACAGCCAACAAAAAACTCTGATACAAAACACCAATATTATGACGTCAGGATGACGTCACCTTGTGATTTTTTTCTTGATTTTTGAATATTTTATATTCCCAACATGTTTTTTTGTTCCACAGCCAGTCTCTAGCAATTTTCTTGATCTGATTGACTGTGTATTAGGTGTGCACTCTTTAAGTCCCCAAACTAGAGAGGGTCAAAGAACAACATTGTCATAATGACGTCATACGGTGTTAGCCGGCATAACATTAAAGGAGCAAACTTCAAAGCCTTATATCTCCTGAAGGACATGTCCGATTTGGTTGAAACCTTGCAGGTACTGGTATCTAGCAGGGGAAGTGCAATAGACAAAAACTGACCTCATGTGATGACGTCATCATGTGACCGGTCACGTGACATTAAAGGTGCACTCCTTCAAGCAATGTATCTTGAAAAGTACTTGTCTGATAGGGTTCAAACCTTGCATTTATCTTGAAAGGGGAGGGCTTCGGACGAATAATGACTTGATGTGATAATGATGTCATCAGAAGACAAGTCACGTGACATTAAAGTTGCACTCTTTGAAGTACTGTATCTCGTGAAGTACGCATTCGATTTAGTTCAAACCATGCAGGTCTCTTGAAGAGGAGTTTAGACAAACATTGACCTGATGTGGTAAGGACTTCGTCATGTGACTAGTCACGTGACATTGAAGGTACATTCTTTACAGCCCTATATCTCGTGAACTACATGTCTGATTGGGCTGAAATTTGGTAGATAGCTAGAATGGGAAGTGTTATAAACAAGGTGACATGATGTAAAGGGTGCAAACTTCAATTCCTTGTATCTTTTAATGTCCAAAAGGGTTCGAATATTGTTATAATGAGGTCACCAAAAACGTTGGGAACTCTTGAATAGATGCTTGAGTAAGAAGTGAGAAATCTAAATGTGGTATTATCCCAAATGAAGGAATGCCCTTTTCTTGAGAAAAAAAAAAAGAAAAGCCCTTTGCTCTGTCCTACAGACAGACAAAACCTCTAGTTTGGATTAACAATGCCCACAGAGCTGCCGTTTTGAGTATATGTACTGCGTTATAATATAATAATATATTTACAATTAATATTTACAATTGTGTTTTGTTGATGGTTTAATTAGTACTCTGCGTCAGTAAGTTTCTGGCCTTCGTATGTTGAATAATGCTTTCTTCATTGGCTTTCCAAGAGTTGCATTTAAGATAATCTTTGTGAATCTTTGTGAATGTCTACTCCAGAGTTTCGATCATTGCTGATTTCGTTCCCTTTTTTGTACACTTTCATGTTTTATGGATTTTGAGCACCTATCGATCTATAATGTTAACTTCGATTGTATTTGTGGTCACGCTTGTTGTTTCATTGGATTCCTAGGGAGCTTTGGTCTTTAATTTCTCTAGATATTCCCATGTGCTTTTAATTCTCAATAAGCTGTCCTCTAGATTTAAACATTTTTTGTGTATTTTATATCTCTTACATGTAGTTTACACGATGATTTTGAGCTCTGAATAACACCAATGCTTCAAACATCAGTAGAAGCTTGCATCTGAGTTTTATGATTTATCAACCAGCCGGCCAACCAACTCGACCGCTGTTCCATGTCAAGACATCTAAACTGCTGCCAAAGTTTTGGAATGGCCCTTTGGCACATGAAGTATCTTTGCGATTTGCTCAGTCCGTGTACCGTATGTCAGTCAGATATGTGAGCTTGAATGGGTGAAGGCAAAAAGACTGGAAAATACCAGAGCAACGTGAGTGAAATCATTCAATAAATGGCGCTAAGAAAGTAGAGCAGCTAAGGATCATCTCTGTGTGCAAAAGAAATTGTGCCCACGATGATAAGTGGGTGCGCCGAAACTTTTCAGTACGTTGACACAAAATTGCTTAAACAAATGTGTGGCTAAGGATGGAGTGGGAGTGAGAATCCGTGCCACACTGGTGGGGCTATCTTCCTGCAAGATAAGTTCAAGTAAACCTTTTGTGCATTCATTGTCATTAAATCCAAATAGGGCCTAATGAAATATGTCCTCTGGGACAGTGGTACTCGGAGGGCGCTCCACACAGGCCCTGGCAGTCTAGAATAACGCCCCCAAAGAGCCTCAGAGTTTTCAAAGAATACCTGGTGCATCTACCGGTATACGCCTGTAATTCAGTGCTGTCAACTCACATCATTTTGTTGCACACTGGAGGGAGAAACCATTTCTTATTCTCCTCCAACCAGTCATCCACATTGTCGACTTGCACCTGGTCAGCCATGTCGCAAATAATAGTCCACTTCGTACACGTTGGCATAGGCCTACGTTGTGTTATGTGTTTTGGCGTGTGCCTAGCGAGCTAGCTAGCCTAGCCCGAAGATTGTAAACACTCTTTGGCCTAGCCTAGGCCGTTTTCCAATATTCAACTTCGTCTCCGTCTCAAGCTTCGTCCCCCAAACCAATCCCCGATCGTAGGCCTAAAGCATTTAAATTACATTGGATTACTGTAATTTTTGCCTTTTTTGCATCTTATTTGATGTTTTGTGGCACTATTAGACTAAATTACTGCGCTTACAGCTTCAATGTCACCTGGTAAAAACAGTTGAAGCCCAAGACGGATCCGATATTGATTGAGTATTGGAAAACGGCCCGCGCCAAGCGTAAGCCGCCTGCGAGTGATGGCTCTGTATCATCAACCGATAGAGGGCGGTCACACTCACAGATCGTGGCCCGAGGAAATAAATTCCCAGCATTGACATCAGAGATAAATCCCTATTTGGGTAAAGGGCGTGGCCTCTTCAGAAGAGGTCACATTGCTAATTCGTTGATTAAAAAAATTTATGTCCAAATGCAATCACCACCCATCATATCCTACCTCTGTTTATGCTGAAAAGCCTGGTATAGTTACTTCAAAGTCAGGGCTTCCCCTAGCAATTGACAAAACAGCAAAAATTCCAGCCGGACTGTGTGTTAAAGTGGCTCCATGTGTTTATACCAGGGATCATTTACAAAGACAGTGCCTGGGCCAGGCAGGGAATGTTTCTTACCAGGGACAGCTGTGTGTAATCGTTTAATATGCACGCACACACCCCTGGATACGAGTGCGTTTCGGTACGAGTTGAATTTTACTGCATTGCACTAATGCGTACAACGACATCAAATTGCCCGACTAAAAGGCCCAAATAAAAACTTTCCGTTCTCATTCATACAGTTTCCTTCTTGCATGATACTTTCTCATTAGAGCGTTCATGATATTTCTATTTGTTATTACTTACAAGTAGAGGAATGTCAGGGAAAACTCGGCAAAACTGAAAACATCCCCTCTAAAAATTGGCTTCTCTTCCAACGTCCGACTCCGTTACTTTGGAGGTACGTAAGAAAGACGGGCAAAAATTTGGCAGAAAATGGATTTTTATCATGTGCAAGTTAGCAAAAGGGACTTTGAGTGTTAAAATACTAATTGGGATGGAAATGAGGGCAAAAAACGTTTTTAGAGCTTGATGTTGATCGATTACTTCTGGGGTCCACGTCGGCTGAGTCAAGAGCCATTTTACTAGCGTCTGGCTGTAGTGAGATTCAGTACGCATGCGCACAAACCAAGTGAGGGACATGAACGTACGTGACTTACAGATGTTTGTTGCAGCGGTCTTTGAAGTGTTATTTTGGTGGAGGGGTGTTGTGGCTTTGCTGGCACGTGGCAAGACCCCCACCCAATCCTGAAGGCATGGGAAACCAGGCCCATGGCGGTATTGTGATCTACTTTCTGCGGGTTTTACTAGCTGTAGAGGCTAGAGGACACCCACTGAAGTATTTAAATGCCCCTAGAAAGGAATATGGGCTCTGAAACCCCAAGAAATGATGCGGCCTTTTCTGAAGCGCAGTCCCAGCAAAATAGAAAAACCAAAATCAAAACGTATCGCAGGGTTAAAAATTATTTTATAGATGCTCACAACTCTCACACGTTTTGCACAGAAAAATGATGTTCTCGTTCAGTTTCCCTTCATGTTCTAATGGGTTGATCAATGAAGTTTTGAGAAATTCTTACCCAAAGCAGACCAAAATCAAGGGAATTTCCTGAAAAATTGGCCATTTTGAAAATACATCCCTCTGCAAAACGGCTAAATAGTGCCACTTTGCTCAGAATTATTGTAATCCCTGGTCGGGTTCAGGCGGCCTGTTCTTGACACGGGTTTCTTGTTCTCGCGCTCGAACGGCGGGAACACGACTCAAGAACACTGTTCCCGGAACAGGATCCCGCACCTCCTCCTCGTCAGGGTTTTACAGGAAGACACGGAAAACTCGTGAGATTTTGATTTTTGAACAGCTGCAAATGTAGAGAGATGGCTTCCAAAGCCAAAGACCATGGGAAGTTTTGAAAAATTAACATTACATGTAATTATTTTCCGTAACACAGAAATGAATGTTTCTGTTTATGTAGAAAAAATTCAGCCCATCCAAACATTAACTCTCGAATAACGTAGCCTACATGGACGCCACCATGTTGCTTGTTACTAACTGTACTACCAGCGATAATCGGTTGTTTGTTCCCGACGTTCGAGCAGCCGATCCACGAACAACAAATGGAGCTGTTCGTGAGCATACAGGAACAAGCCGCCGGAACTCAGCCCCTAAGTCCAGGCCGGAGGTTTAGTGCCATATTTCTTCAATTCCCCTATTCCATGGCTCTCAGAACTCTCTAATATAGAATATTTTGAAGTTTTTGCATAGGGCGTTGATGATCAACTACGGCCAGAATCAGCGCGAAAGCCCTTGCAGTGGACTGCGTACCGTAAAAAGTACCGCACGCCAAAGGCAATGGCGTACTAAGCCGGGGGGGCTGCCCCCCCCCCCAAAAAAAACCCCGAATGAACGGATATCGCCAAAGGCTAACAAAACCTTGCCTCCCAAAACAAACCACTGAAAGCTGGTGCCCCCCATAAGATTCTGAGCCCCCTTTGTGCCTTTCCCCACAAAATCTTAGCTACGCCACTGGTCAAAAGTGGTACCTATAGTCTTTACTCAAGACGTGACTACTTACACTATTGTTACCTGAGCTCATCGACCATTTCGACCAACAATAGGTGACACGCTATACTTTTATTTTTCTTGAATAGGCCGAAATATACATGAAATAAAAGCTCAAAACAAGAGATATCCTCCATCTGTAAGTAAAGTGGAATATTTGGGGGAATTTTGGGCTTCATAAGATTGAATTCAAAAGAAGTGGTGCTTTTACGGTCAACAGAAATCATGGGATGTCTGTTATTTCTGATGTTCAGTCAAGAGAGAAGGAAATGAAAAAGGCTGTGATCCAATCTCAACTGGAAAAATAAGCAATATGTATGTAATACAAAACAATATCCAAAACGGATAGACCGAACCACATATGTGTTTAGTTCGCACTTGTTTTATCTGTATTTTGGTTTTTTTTTATCTAATATGTTACATTCAAGTTAAATGCTTACGTTTATTAAATCTTGTCTTTACATGTCATATGTTTGCAAGCAAGATCATCATCAGAAGGATACAAATAACTTGGTCCCAGCAAAGCGGATTGCTGTACCATTCCCTCTAAGAAAATATACGCGAGTTGCTTGCATCCAAGAGATACTTTCAGTGCACAAGCGCACAAGATTTTCCTGAAGCGAGCCCTCGCGGGGCGTTTTCTCCTCAAATGCCCAGCGAGCCAAAAATAAATTTCCCACCCACGACAAATTATGACGGAAAAGTCATCAGAAACACATTTGCGTGTCCTGTAGTGTGTTCTTCCAGTTTAATTGTGAAAAACACAACACTCTAAAATTGTTGAAAAAGAAAACGGATAAAAATCACATGGCAAACTGTTCTCTGAGTGCGTGTCCACGCACCCATCCTTAAGAGTGCGCATTATTACAAATGCACAGGTTGGCTCCGAGAACAATTACGATGAAGTCTATACTTCTTATGGTGGAAGGGGGCCATACTAAGAAACGACGATCTCGTGCGCACAGGAGAAATTACGATTTTAATTTTGTTTACAGTGCACTAAAAATTCCACTTAAATTAGAAACTAATAGCACAGTCGATTTAATGGGATTTTCTGAAGAAACAACTGAACAAAGTTAGAAACCTGAGAGGTCATCGAAGTCATCATCATCATTAGTGAAGAGGGCCATGACCCCCACCTTTCTAGACGAAAAACGCATGCGCAACGGTTAAGATACGCCCATTTTATCATAATTACCCTAACCTTCCTTGGAAAAAAAAAATTAGCGAAAACGATTCCATGGGATTTTTTAAATAAAAAAAGAAGTAAGTCAGAAACCTGAGAGAAAATGATCTTCGAAGTCGCACTCCTGTACATTTTCAATAGCCTACTCACGCTTCTTGCTGCTAAGACCACTTCTGCGCATGCGTGCATAATTATGAATTTGTTGGTGGAGGTCTATTATCATAAATGGTACACAAACTTTTAAGTATAAGGCACAACAAAACTGCTCTGCAACTGCCGACTTGCATGGTATCTCTGTTAGCAGAGCGTTATGCTTAGAACCAACATGCCAAGAGTTCGAGTTTCGATGTAGTATTTTTTTCTTTTTAATGGGGTATTAGTTGGTTGGATGATGTTTTATAATAGGAAAGTAAAGCCCGACATTTACCTAGTGTCCACTAGCTTGTACCTAAACACTCCCCTATATCATAATTACCCTAACCTTCCCAGGGAAAAATATTCATCCAGGCGCCAGCCCAAGCTTTTCGCAGCGGGCATTATCAAAATGTGAATACACACGGTCAAGTTGTTGCACGGGGAAACTGTCTGAGGTATTTATAAAGTTAAGGACAATACACGAGGAGCGCGCCGTTCATGGATGAGAATGGCCCGCGGGCAAAGCCCGAGGACATTCTCATCATGCTGCCGAGTGTATTGGCCTACTCAACACCCTCTGAGAACTCATCGTCACTGTTAACACGAATGTCGTGTTTTTGTAAAATTGGAAAAAAACGCAGTAGCCGAATATGGACAATACACAATCTTCAAGCGATATCAAGTAAGCTGTGCTGGGAGAGTTAAGTAAGCTACATTGTTGTGTTCGTTCCCTGGGGATTTTTACACTCCAACTACATATGAGATGTCAAATAGGTTGATTCAAACGGCACCCATGCCAGTTTTGCTCTGAACGCCAAGGTGGAAACATAGCTAGTTCTGACAGTGATTGCAGCATTTTCCCTACGCAAAACACATTTCGCTCGGACACTGAAGATTCTGCCAGCGTGTCAGATGCCACATTAAATATAGAAGACATTCTATCTCAGTCCAAAATAAAATATGAACCAATAGTGTCCAACATTGCTGCTGACGAGCTACTGGCAGCAACCCTGTTGACTTTATAAGTCAAATTAATAAGAAAAATTATCTCGGTATCTGAACAAGTTGGATGGCACTTCCAGAGCTCCGTAAGAATCTGCTGCATAGCGTGTGACGTCTTAAATATTAATATTTTATATTTACACTTTTGCTGAGAGTATGGAACAGAAAATCCAGTGGGCCGTAGATTTGTTTCATGATTGGCAGATGTGTTGCAATTTGATGAAAGCTGTCTGTGATACCACACTGAACATCAGTCCCATTAACGTGGATTTGGATAACATGACCAAAGACGAGCATAATTACTCGCTATGAAGATTCATATGTGAGGTGAAAAAGAAGAACGGTGAAGACTACCTAGGGAGACACTTCATGAGCTTGTGATCTACGTCTAGCTTTTTTGAGTTGATAGGCAAAAACTACAAGTTCTTGTCGGATCCAGATTTCCAACAGCTGAGAAATACTCTTGACGGACTTATGAAAGAGCGAGCGAAGGCAGCTTTGGGAACACGTCGCAAACAAGCCGAGGAGATTACGGTCGAGGAAGAAAGTCATTGTGGCAGAACAGTGTTCTCGGCAGTTGCAATCCCACCCAGCTTCTCAACACACTGGTGCACTTGATTGGATTGAATTTCGCCCTACGTGGTGGACAGGAACACAGGAATTTGCGATGGAAATCCTCGCAATCTCAAATTCAGTGTGACAGTAATGGTTCTTGAGGTACACAGAGGATGCTTCTAAAACCAACCAAGGCGGCTGGAAACATCGTCACCTTCAGCCAAAGGTCGAGGATGCGTACGAGAACAAGGAAGACAGAGAGCGATGTATTGTTACATTGTTCGAGAAGTGCGAACGTCATTGTCCTCCTGAAGACAAACTACTAGACGCTTTTTAGTTCACGACCGCTGCCTCAGCCGAGAGAACAGGTTTGGTAGTAGAAAGTGTGCTGGTGGCTAGAGTTGAACTGTTTGAGACATTCTTGTTCTAATTCAATTACATTGACTCAAGGTATGTTGAAATGTAACTTCATAATATTACTGTGAAGCGCATCGAGATGTGCTATGTGATGCGCTATATAAGAAATGTGTTGTTATTATTATGTGCTGGATAAAAATTAATGTAGTCTATTAATTAAGAGATACTAAATGGCAAAACATGAAACTTGTGCCAGTCAATTAAATTGTGTACTCTGCGATAAAATGTTTTGTTAACTTAATTTTTTGTTTTCACGGCATGAATTAACTTAAATTTTTCATAGTATGGATTCACTTAAAATGTTAACCCTGTAAGAGACTAGACATCGGTGTTTTTGATACTTCTTGTTTTGTAATGTGAAAAAGGTAATGATTGTTATGGGTTATTTGATTTAGCTTCATATGCACAAAAGCTCATAGCGTACACTCAAAGAGCCTAAATTATAAAAGAGATGTTTGAATTAAAATGTGAAATAAATAGTGACTTCAGTCTCCCTTGTTTGTGTTTTGCGCCGTTTTTAAATATTGAATGGTGCGCTTTGCTCCATTCATGCAAAATAACGGCGAGAAAGAATAATAGTGTGACATCACAGGAGGGTGTTAAGAATGATGTTTAAAAAAAGATGCTGAATGTTCTAAAGCCCTTTTCGACAGCCATGGAATCGTTCAAATAGAAAAAGGGAAAGGATACGAGTTATGACTTCTTTCGGTCGATGAAATAAACACTGAGTAAAATGCTGGTCAAAAATAATAACCTATGTGAAAACGTGCATAACTCTCATTTTCAATTCCTCAGTACATTACTCGGTTTTATTCCGACAGAAACAATGAATCAACTTTTTGTTCAATATATTTTAAAATCTGTTTCTCGTGTCTAGTTGACTTCGGGGCAATCTTCAGGGACCCAAAATTTTGTTTTGTAGGATTTTGATTTCAAATCAAAATCTGTCGGGTAATGTTTTGAATTGCATCCGAATTCAGCGTCCCTCAAACGAGATCTCATGTAGCTGATTGCAGCTTCTCGATGTCTCCCACTAAATCAACAAACGCTTGCGCGCGTCCCTTCATCGCTTGCGCACGCTTCGCCGAATTTTAGAGGAACTGCTAATGGCAAGTTTCCTTGGAGTTGGCCTGGCTTTAAAGTGACTGCTTGTCAGAATAAATAATTTAACAGGAAGTTGAGTCCTATAAATACATTCAAACCGAGTAGCCTATGCAATCCATTTCAACAATGGTACGTCGGTTACTATTTGACAGCAGGAAAATGACGGACTTCACCTTTAAGAAGAAATGCCGTCCTTTTCCAACGTCTGACAATGTTTCTACCTGTTTTGAAACTCGTATTCTGAAGACGCACATAGAGCGCTTATAGTTAACAAAAGTCACACAGGCCCTCATTCACCAACAAGGAACCAACAATGCAGAACAAACATCACAACACAAAACACGGGTCTAATTTCATAAAGCTGCTTAAGCAAAAAATTGCTTAAAGCATGGAAAAACTTTGCTTAATAAACAAAGGTTACCAGCTCAAACTCTATGTGATTGTCATGCTAACCAAAAGACAGGTATACCATTCCAAAACAGTATACTTCACAAGAAGTTTGGGCTGGTAACCTGATTTGTCAAGCAAGGTTTTTTCACGCTAAAACTAAATGTTTCACTTAAGCAGCGCTATGCAATTGTCCCCTGAACTTTAAACATAACGCAATCGCGCTTGTCTAGTAGGCTATGGGATGGGTTAAAGTGCAAGATTTGTGGTCAAGTTCATTGCACATGAATGCAGAGTGAACCAACACGTTCCCCTGTTATACCACCCAGTCGCCATTTTGGTCTGCACGTTCAGCGTAGTCATGCCCCCATATGCCCCATCTGGACCATACTCTATAGTTTGCTGCTTTGGTTTATTGATTGTAGGATGTCTTTCCTTAAATGACCAAGAATTTGACGACAAAGGTGATGACGAGGTAAGACTCTGATAGTTATTTCATTAGAAGTTCTTTCGTCTGTCTTTGCCCGATACTGCTAAAGGGTGTGTCACAACCAGACTTGTATTCGTGTTACCAAACATCGAGTCCGAGTTCGAGTCACATCCCTCGAGTCCGAGTTATTCGGGTCGAGTACAAATCTCGAGTCACAAAGATGAGTCCAAGTCACCTTTATTATTGTACTTGAAACATGTTTCAGATTCTGCAAATGTTTCACTTTTCACCACAGCTTTTTCTGATTTTAATGACTGGAAAACATATAAGCTATGACAAAAAGTCTTTTGACCTACATTTGATCAGTATACCCCGTCCTTTGTATATTTAACATAAAAATAAGCATATAAGGGGCTCATTACAAAGGGTTGCTCAGGCAGGGAATGGATGCCATGACTGATCTTCGTGCTGAATATTGGACATCTCGTACCCGGGACAAATCGCACCAGGGCCATCTAGTACCCAGGACAATTCGCGCAAAACAACCTAAAATTGAACACGTGAACACAGAAAATCCACAGAAAATACACACGTAGTTAAGATACATAAAGTTCTATGAGTTAACATGAAGAATATTGCAACATCGATGTCACATACACGTATAGTCCTCGCGATATGAATAGACTCAACCCCATCACGCATTCTTTTGCATGGGCGCGGCACGGCGGGAACCAGCACTTTGCGCACGGGTTTTAACCACAGCGAAAAACGAAAAGATCGTGGAATGACAGAAGTTGCTTTTCAAATGTTGCAAATGTAACTGGGAAAACACTAAAACACAAACATTATAAGGAGGAAAAGGTTGTTCTGATGTGGTTTGTGAAGACAGAAAAGACAGGATTTATTTATTTGCATTTCTTATATTTATTAAATTTGTTTTTTCTAACTTGCAAATAAACATTTTTTGGGTCTCGCCAAAAAACAGGGTCGGTCGGGAAATCGGTAACATCTTGTTTTTGCCTTTGCAAATTGGATTCTCCGATCGTTACTGGGGTACTCAAACGTCGATGTTTTTATTTGTTGCATTTAGGCCTGTGCCTTTGTTACTAAAGAACAGACTGAACAATATTGTGGAAAAATGGCTTTAATAAGTTTAGGTTTAAGTTGAAAGATGACATCATTCTTATCTTTGTATAGGTGCAGAGAATGCGCGAGACCATTGTACCAATTGGTACCCGTGTAGGACCTACATTAGCAGTAATCTGTGCGTAATTCCCATGTAAATGTACAAGTACATGTTCAAGGCAGCGCGGGACTGGTGCAAGTTTTTGTATGTTTTGTCTAGTTTGTGGCATGCTGCGCGCCGTGTAGGCAGTTTCGCAGAAGTCTCGAGGCAGTCTGGAGGCCTGGGCCGTTTTCAAATATTCAACTTCGTCTCCGTCTCATTCTTCGTTCCCAAAACCAAATCCTGATTGTGGGCCTGAAGCGTTTAAATTATATTGGATTACTGTAATTTTTGGCTTTCTTGCGTGATCTTATTTGATGTTCTGTGGCACTATTAGACCGATTACTGCGCTTACAGCTTCAAAGTCAGCTAGTTAAAAAAACAATTGAAGCCTAAGACCGAGCCAAAGTTGAGTATTGGAAAACGGCCCTGGTTCAACGAGGAAGATGAATGCGTACGTGTGTGACCGTTCCTTTTGAGTACGCTACCGCTGAGAGTCTGCGAGCAATTCAAGTACTGGTTCCGCAATCGTATCCACAGTAGTTGACTTAGTGTGTACTGTTCTTAATATCGGTCAGAAAGGACCGTGGGTAGAACAAAGAGTTGTGGGCAGAGTTGTCGAAGGTTGTCCGGAGGTCACCGTCTAAAACAGCGGTGAAAGATTGGATAGCCAGAGTGACGGCAGACGCCCTAAGTTACCCGTTAGACCGCCATGGCGGCAGTCCGCCGATATCTTGGGTGCAGTCACCCGGGTGAGGAGTACGGATTGCGGATACAGGTTAGAGGTTGCGGAGTGCGGATTGCGGATACAGGTTAGAGGTTGCAGAGTGCGGATACAGGTTAGAGGATGCGGAGTGCGGATTGCGGATACAGGTTAGAGGTTTGCGGATTGCGGATGGCGGATTATTGACGGCACTTTGCGGAGTGCGGAGTGTGGATTATTAAAGTGTTCTTTTGTAATTGTAGTTTGTGTTATTATTCCTTTGTATCTCTTGTATAAACTAGGTAACTCCAATTGTGTAAATATAGTGATTACATAAGCTAAAGAAACGTATATTGAATACGTCTGGATGATCTTGCCGGTAATGTCTTGTTTACGCACATGCTCATTGTTGTGTCAGTCGACCAGGTCACCAAATCAATTAATGATCGATGGTTTATTTCCGTCCAAACGACCCCTAATCCCTGGACCTTAGATTGCTCGTCAAACTCAAGGGCCAAGGCAAATAGTTTAGGTTTAGGTCAGGTGACTTTCCCCACAGTTGGAAACAGTTCGCCCAAACTGGCGAGACCTTGGCTGGCTCGTGGGAATAAAACGCCACAATATTCGGTGGGGCAAAGTGGAAATGGGGCGAAGTGGGGATGGGGCGAAGTGGTACATCGATTTCCTAGTAGCCGCATCACGCGCTGTTTTGCTCTCCGAAACAACGCACGATGTAATTTCCGCCGATATACCGATATACACAGGTCGAATCCTAGTCTGAGTCTGCAGCCCCTAGTCCAAGTCCCAGTTCGCGTCACTTTTCAAAGTGACCCGAGTCACGAGTCGCAAAAGTCCCGTCATAACTGATAATGCAGTACTAGTAAGCAGTACATAACGTATCACCAACCGATAATGTATCACAAATTGTTTCGCCATTTCCAATTGACTTCCATTAACTAATCTGTAACAGTCTCCCCTTTACTGTAAACTGATTATTATTAAACGTTATTAGCTGATACCTTATCCTTTGACAGGTGATACATTACCGGTTGCAAATTTTACCACACTATTTGTTTAGGCCAATAGTTAACATCTACATCATCAGTTGTAGCACTGCCCTCTCACTGAATCACGTGGCCCGGTGCACATCTGCAAGTGCCGTAGAGAATAAGGACTGCAGTGTATTTAAGTGGTTTATAATGGGTAGCGAAATAGCCTTCAAATCTTTGATAAGTGGCAAGAAAGTGTGGAAAAAAAGAGGTGGCCAACGATAACCATAACGGGATTTACGACCATGATACGACACATTCGTTCATGCATGGTGTTATTGCTTATTGATTTATTTATGTTTAAGCCAAATTACGGTGATTACAACAATTTAAAAAGATCAAAACAAGGTTCATTAATAAAAAGTAACCAACATATTACAATTATAATTACGATAAATCAACACCAACTGAATTAAAAGGACAGACAAACATTCCAAATTCCTAAAAAGCACACAATATTCCCTTCAAACGCCGTTTGAATACATGTACATGTACCTGACAAAGTGCCATTAAAAAAACCACACGAATGACCAGTTGATAATGAGACATACCAACATTACAGTAAGGGAGGATCTGCATATTAAAGATCATGATGTTTGTAGTTAAACGTTTAGAAATCCCTCAAGAAACTGCGCTACATGTACGTGTTCATGCATAACAAGGATTAGGCAAGTTTAATGCTAATAGATTCAAAAAGCCTTCAGATGTTTAATATTACAACAAAATACCTCTTTGCCCATAATCTTAGTTTCTTCGAACCTAGGCCACAAACAGACCAAAGAATCTTTTGATACGATTAAAGGTGAGTTTAAGGCACGTATTTTGGTGACCGTCAAGCATTAATCACAGGTGAGACAATCCGTTCAAAAGTCAAACTATGGTTGATGTCTTCAAAAATGACAACAGAAAATCACTAAGACAGAGTCGTTTCGCACCTCAACAGCAATCCTCCAAGAGAGTGATATACAAGTGGGGACAACTGCAAATTGCAGAAAACTCATCGAGGAATCAATCAAGGCGAAAATTACCACTTATACTCTTAAAGCCATGTTTTGCGTTCAGCTCAACTTTCATCAAGGCCTTTCAGTGTATACGGATCTAAAGTGTTGAAAAGTTAAGTGACGTTTTGAGAAAGTGCACTGTTGTGTACGCCTCAGTGTGTTCGGCAATTCATTCACGGTCATAAACTGTGCGTAGGTTGAAAACCTTACATTCACCCATACTTTTATTTTGCAGTCTCAGTGGGAGTGCATGCTTGGCCCGGAGGACGAAGGAAGGGCAACATTTTACATTGGTGGTGAAGAACATAAAGTTTGCAGAAGAGGCCAATTCTTCAATTTTACCTCTGATCCAGACGCTCCGTAAGCAACTGCATGCAAATACCCTCCATAGAGCATCGCGTTGATGTTGAATGGTTTACTACCGTTTACATTATAAATTGCAGGGACTGTCATTCTTTTACGCGACTACAACTTCATGTGCATGTTTTATTTGCTTAATGTTCAGTTTTTATCACAGTGCGTACAAAGATGACTGTCATGGTTTTAGTTAAATCAGCCATTAAAAAATCTATGTCCATGCTTTTTTCCTTTTTTTAACTTTAGTTTAATGCACTCACACAGCACCAATTGATTGTGCACGTTTTAATGTTACTGTAACTTTAATATGCAAATTAATACTACTGTACTTGTTTATATAGGGAAAGGGACAGATGCACCGCTTGTCCACTACATACCCACTACATGGACCACAAAAACCATTGCCTCAAATGTAGAAGATGCCGGCCGAACTGCAGTGAAAACGAAAGAGAGGTAAACTTCATTTTACACATCGATATGATACACATTCAAGATTATTTCGCTGTGTTCGTGTAGGGCCTACATGTCTACGTAAACTACTGACTGAAGATTTCCTTTCCCAAGAATCTAATTTCCCTCTTATTTAATACCGTCTCACATGTTTTTATGTTTTTATAATGATTACGTGAAATACAACACTGAGCGCGTCTGATACAGTCTCGACAACAAGGAGCGCGTCTGACACTCTTGTCAACACGGAGCGCGTCTGACACAGTCTTGACAACACTGAGCGCGTCTGATACAGTCTCGACAACACGGAGCGCGTCTAGTCTGACACAGTCTTGTCAACACTGAGCGCGTCTGACACAGTCTTGACAACACTGAGCGCGTCTGATACAGTCTCGACAACAAGGAGCGCGTCTGACACAGTCTTGACAACACTGAGCGCGTCTGATACAGTCTCGACAAATATTGTGCAGTTCGCCTTGACCAGAAACACCTATTCGTCGGTTGAAAAGAGCCTCATTGGTGGGGAGTTTTTATTTTGCCGGTAGAGACGTAACTGTAAGGAGTGTATTTCATAGTCGTTTATGAACCAGCAAAGTGCAGTTTTCACCAAAGAGCCTGCGTTGCTAGGAAAATTTCGCCGTCTCTTGGTCTAGCTTGGATCTCTTAACTATTTATGTCTGAGGACAGGGGTTTAATGTTCCCACGCTTGTTTTCGTATTTGTAGGTCCTGTCGTGTACCCGAACTCGTAACAGAATATGTAAACCTAGAACAAGTACACCGCGCATCCCATCTACTGAGACCACGACGCTCAAAGCTACATCGGGTAAAACTTGCATTGCGTTGGAATACAGCACATTGATGTACATTCAATGATTGTCAGTAAACACAATATAATAAGGTCTATATCATAAACTGTATTTGTATATTTTATATGACGATAGGAAAAGTGCACCAGTGTAGGGGTTGATAGTCATATCTTCCTTTCCACCAAAACCATCAATACCACCAACACTTGATCATTTTGATGTTCGTATTTAGGGGCTGGAATTAACTCAAAGGGTCACGAGACTTCCTCAACCTCTTCAAATTCCACCAACCAGCTCTGTCCGACCTGTACAACCAACTCAATCAATTTGTCTGAAACTGGAGTCCGTCTGACAGAGTGGCTACCTTACGGTACGTGTAATATTATGGTATCCCACGGTCGATGTGCATTACCAGTATATTTTTGTTTTTGAAGGAATTTGAAGAGAGTTGATTAGAATTTTGGAGCTATCCATGGCATTTAATTTCTCTTTAATTTGAAGCCTTGTTCTCTTTAGACACTGTGTTTTTGGACATATTTCAGTTATTGCTTTGTTGATTGTGTGCGTCCTTCTTGTAGCAGCGGTGCTTTATTTGATGAGAGATCGTGTGGATTTGACACGCAGGATCGGGTAAGAAACCTTCAATCACTGCTTGTTACCTTAAAATCAGATTGTCTTTCTGAATCGGTTTCGGTTTTAGAAATAAGGTTTGAATCATTACAATTCATATACAATCCGATGTTCTAACGACTTTTTAGAGCACCAAATTATAACCGTTAGAGCACCAGATTATAACTGTAATTAAGGCAAACTCTAACTGAAAAGGTTATATTTTCGCGTGATTTTCACAGACGCATGGAGCAAATAAACAGGGGCAATTTTGACGCCGTGCCACAAGGTAAGTCATCTACGTGTAATTCTCTGCAATCGTAACATAATTCATTCCCGTCGATTCTACTGCCGGCAAAGAAGGTAAACAATTCTCAAATAAAGGCTCCTGTTCTCTGAATAACCCAATTTCTTATAATTAAAACGGCTATTACCCTGGTGTTAATGGCGCAGGGATACAGATCAACAAATATCACCAAATATGGTCTTAATCATTTTATCAATGGGCCAATTTGGCAAAGATTTCATGTAATCCTCAACCCAGGCATACATCACAAGCCTGTAGACTCCCATTGGCCAGAGACCAAAGATTGCAGAGTAAGAATTTTTGAAATATCAGTATCTCCAAGACGCCCATATGACTGGGAAATGACCTGGTAGTAAAAAAAAAAAAGAAAAAAAAAAACCACATCGCTGCTCGGAGTTATTTTGGGGGCGTGGCTACAAATGTACTTCCACAGCAGCATACTGAAAAGTAGTTAAAGAGGGGACCCGAGAGATGTATTAGCTACAATCAAACAGTCGCACAGGCTCAGGCATGACCGGGAACTTCCTAGAGACTAAAATCACCACATGGAGAACAAAATCACCACATGGAATATAACGGTGTTATTTTGTGGGCGTGGCTGTTAAGAGGGCAAATCAGACTACATGCAGTATGCATTTTTGTGGGAGGGGGAGTGTAGAGAAGCACTGAAGCTAGGGGCGGGGTGCATTATAGAGTGAAAAGAAGTTTTAAGGGGATAGGTATATAAAAAAGTAACATAAAGGGTTGACTTAGAGAGAACGATTCTGCTTTGAAAAAGATTCTGCTGGCATTGGGGCACTTAAGCCCTCCAACTTTTTGACAAGGGGTTGAAGTGAGGTTTAAAAGGGGCAGATACGACTCAGCAAATAATCCAAATTCTTAATATTTAATTGGCTGTCTACCCTGATATCCCTTATGAAACCGTTATTGTGAACGCTTCAGCCACTCTGCATCTTGTGCGTATCAAATGAACGTGCATGGCCTTACAGTGCATCGCCGAAAATACTAACGTAAAAGGTAGCGACTTTATTAAAATACAAAGGTTCACACTCTGCAACGATTTCCGTATATTTATATTTCGTTCATTTTCACAGATCCTGAAAATCAACGGCCATTCTTCGCTGGCAGGGAAATAAATGGTGAGGATACTAGACTTCTGCGAATTGAATTTGTGAAGCAATGATTCTTAAGTTAATATCAAAGTTTTATTTCCATTTTATTGCTGCTTACGTTCTTAAAAGAATGGAACATGATGACGAACAGTATTGATACTCTAGTCTGTCACTTATTAAACTAAACTGCAAGACTGCAAACCGGTTAATTATTTTGCACGAAAGCAATCCAGAAGAGTTTCAACTTTGATCCCTCGACAGACAAACTGTCATTAGAAACCTAAAGAAAGATCTGAACTTCGCAATTACTTAATTCAATGGTTACAAAATAATGAAACCACGTGGAAATTGCAGAAGATGCATGACTGATCAGACTGATGCTAGATAGGAGTTAAGCTTCTAGGGTATATATTTGGGACGCAAAATGGTGTTCATATTAAGATTTATGAATCTTTTGCATTACATGTATAGTGAGATACTAGTTATTTAACTGCATGCAAGTGAGCACGGTTTCTTGAAACTTGTCGAAAATTTTGGGAGGAATGCTGTAATAATTGTATCGACCTATTTTATCAGTGACGTTAATTTATTCAATCTGTTTTTACAGATGAGGATGAGCGGGTTTGAGCAACGTTATCCAGGGATATCACAGGACCTTCAAGTTATCCAGAGTTGTGCGCACCCGGTTTGATCACTCTCATTATTTTTCGTTTTCCTTTTTCTTTTTCTTTGTTTTTTTGTAGGGGGGAGGTGAAATCTCAGTTCTCTCCTGCTTATTTAATCATTTAAATAAAAAACGGTCTAAAAGATGAGAAAAATATGGCTCACTCATAAGTTGGGGTTCTGCCTTCAGTCGGGTGCCCCCTCTTTGGATAATTACTGTATCCGCCACTGAGTTATAAGGGCACAAAGAGAACTGTTAAGACGATTGACTCTGTCGTCCTTCCGTGTAACATTCGGCATTCTCATTTCTCTCCAAAAACGCATGTACAGTGTCATGTGATTTATGGAGCAGTTTATTCACGAGGGACACTTACAACAGGCTTCAAATTATGTCACGGTTTGCATGCCGACCAGACAAAATAAGTTAAAGTTGCAGTGATTATCAGCCAGTGCATTGCTTCAGGTGTGCGGTTCTCATATGGTATTTTAATATAGTATATTGGTATAAAAACATTAGTACCTGTGCAAAATTACTTAAAAGATATTTTTATATTATCAAAAATATTTACAGTGCTTTACTCGTGTACTTCACATTTTTTTGGATACTACATATAACAGAATGCAATTGTAAGGTTCATTATTTATAAACTTTAGCAAAAAAATCAGGATTCGTTTCTGTAAATTCACTTTTGCAAATGGTGTGTGCTTTTCAAATTAAGATGGGGAGTATATAAATAGTTTACGTTGAAAAAGCAAGAGTCTAAATCAAACAAAGAAAAACAAACACGAGTAAGAACTATCACAAAATATTACTTAACGATCAAAGTAAATTCGTCTCCAAGTAAATTCTTTCGTTGAAAATGTATTTTCTAGACACTTCCAGCTTGCAGTATACAGCGATGATTAAAGTTATACAAATCACCTCCAATATTGTTTCACGTATCGTGATTTAAACAAGATAAATATAGACAGGGTGATAGGCCTTTGTTTCTATACAAGACTGACCGTTAGACGCACGAGCTAGTCAACTGTCGGACTTCCTAAAATAAAGCAAAACAGAGAGCCATGTAGTAGTATGAAGATGTTCGAACCTCACAGCCGTAAAGGGCACCTGGGACATCTTCACTTCTTTTATATAGTGTATATTTTTCTATTTTGAGTAGCCTACTTACGGGTGAAACCGTATGCTGCTTGCATGCGTGGACGGTGCATGCTTGCGGGGACAGTCATTGGAATGTGAGCTTACTGTGTGTTGGCCATAGGATGAACTGTTGGTGTTATTTGAAACTTGGGGAAGATTTACAAGATGTAAAATTTTAGGCCGTGCATCTTTAGGTTGGTGGCTCCCTTGGGCACTCAGGGATGACTGCGAGTATGATGTGTGAGGATGCGTGGATGCCTGGTTGGCCAGCGCGTGAGGTCAGCCTGTATGCCCCACTTCAGTCACATCACAGGACCATACACGACCACCACCATCACCAAACGTCGACCTAGCCCATTGTCCCGTGGCCCCTCCATTCTCTTGCAAACCCACAAATTGTTTATAGCATGTCGAAAAAAGTACTTCACAGAGTTGATATTCGTCATGGAGCTATCAAACACAAGGAGTTAGAACGAAGTCCCCACAGACCTATCCAAGCTAGGCCTTCGCGGCTGTGTTTATGTGTAACTACAAAGCGGCTGGACCGGAGACCACATGCACGTGTGACGCAGCTGCGAGGCCTTTTCCCAACTTGTCAGGAATTTCTTATGTTTTTCTTTATGTTTCCGAATTTTTTTATACCAGGCAAGATATGGGACGGAGGGGTACCCCCCTTACCTGTCCAATCCCTATACACACTCTAGACTATTGTTACCTACCATATCCCCCCTAGAAGTCTGTAAAGAATTCCTGCGATTCCGATCAAACAATGACCAACACAAAGGCGGGGGGGGGGGTTCTCTCGGTCCCATATCTTGCTCCAAATGGATTTTTTTCTATCCCGTTGGGGTAGCAAACATCCCAACCAATCATAAGCGAGGGGGTCAGTATACATTAACCTATTATGCATATTGAAAATATACGAAAGATGGCGAGCGTGTCAAGTGTGTCGGCGGCCGTAAGTGCAGGTCCGTTGTCTGAGCAGTATTTGGACAGTTCTTTAGAATATGCTGCTGGAAAACTTCACCTTGCTGAGTTTAAACCGTTGCACTATTGAAGCATCTGTACGCGAGCGTGACGTTTTCGTTTCTGCCCACGGGATATTGGTGAGACTAAGAGCTCCATATTTCAAGCACTGCCGTTTTGCTTTGACCATTCGGCCTTGATGAACTGCTACTTGCTAGTGTTACTTCAACGTCAGCACCAGCCCTATCAACAAGCATCATAGTTGTCATCTCACCGCTTATTGCCCTTATGAAAAACCAGATGGAAACATTGCGTAAGCTTT